TTCAATGTATAATAAAACAATTATTAGATTCAGTTTTTGTGATATCCAGAATAATCAAGGTCTCGGTAAGAGTTAGACTGCAAAACAGTCGTATCTTTTTCGAACGAAAGGTCTTGAGCGAGTGTAAAAACGGCGAGGGAGAATGGGGAGAGACTACGGGCGTGTGAGGCTCGCGCGCTTCACACGCGAGGATCACGCCTTCCGAAAACGTCCAAAGACGAATGTTTTGCAGTCTAGGTAAGAGTTATCAGCCTCAGCCTTCGCCTTCGGCTGGTAACCCCAGTTTCAGTTTCGGTTTTTTTATTATTGCACACTATTTACAGAAACACAACTTAACATAAGATGGTTACAATGATATAGGAAAAATAAATACAGATAGAAATTAACTAGAAGAAACAACACTTAATTGTGTACAGTGACCAAAGTAGCCTATGAGCTTTCGAGTTGGTCACTGTCATGCAGATATAAGTTTCCTACCTCGACCTTAACTATTCTGGATATCACAAAAACCTCATCCAATGATTGTTTATAATCTGCACGATTCTGCGAACGTTTCAAAACAGACAGGTGAATCTTCGCCAAATAAGCTAAGCTATAGAATTTGCCATTTATACATAAAGCTTTGCTAGTTTTTAAGCTGTGGCACGACAACAAAGAGATTTTCTTTAGATTTTAAACTAGTATAGAGACAGCTCAGATCTTAGCTGTACTTATCACGACTAAATTCGTGTTCCCTTCGGAAAGTGAAAGTACCGTAGGGGTTTTTCCGCGACATTCGGGAAAAAAAACAATTGATTATAATTAACAATATCTCATATCCAACAAGCGTATGTGGAATAATTGTTTTATCAAAAACGCTCCCAAAATATAGAAAACTAAAATTACAATATACAAATAAAACGCACTAAAAGTTAGGCGCACGCTTACCATAATTGTAGAACATGGAATAATTGCTATTATTATATGGAGAAGAGTGTTTTACTGGGAACTAAACCACTCGTAGATTCCAAACGCCACTTCATCCGGGACCCGAGTGGCGTATTTTCCGTATGTCACCTTTATGAGTGTCGTATCGTTCAATGACGTCACGATTCCCGCCTTTTGCTTTTGTTGAATTGGTTTCAATATTTAGTCTCCATGTAATAAAAAGAACATTACACGTTGGCTCGAAGACATGAATTTTATGTTCTTGCCACTCGAACATAAAATTCATATCTTCTCGCCACCGTGTAATATCCTCTATATATGTGATGGCCAAATAAAAACTCTTAAATTGCAATATCCCATAGTCCAAATTAATCGGCAACTCTTCCTAAATGAGCGCGAGGGGATATTGACCGCGGAAGATCCTTGGAACTATAAACGAGCCTGCAGTTTCCACTGACCGAAACGGAAACCTCGTTACCATACATTGGAATCACTGGGATTTTCCTCTCGAACAGTATGAGCACGGAAAGAAATCTGCTTTTCTAGACTGAACTTAAACACAGCCATTTAGCTCCATTTATTAGCACCTCTATCTGGTAGTCAAAAGTGGTCAAACTCCGAAACAGTGCGAGAGTAGACTACGAGTAGTCCCTCTTTCGCTTAGTCCGTCGTGCGTGACGTGAAAGAAAACTGCGAGGAAAAATTTTCTCGCGGTTTTCTTTCGATTTCGCGTCACGCACGACGGACTAAGCGAAAGAGAGACTATTATGTTTACATACTCTCATCTAAACAAACCTATCGACCAATTTGAGCGTGCGTACTATCTTAAATATTTGTGTTTACATGCAGTTTTTGCCGAACGACTTTAATAAGCGCATACTATAAGGTCTCTCTGGTAGGTCAAAATCCTAACTGTCAACTGAGAAATGTCGCGCCTGAGTAGCTGGGATCTGAGATCTGCAAAATTTACTGATAACAGGAGGGAGCATATGAACTAAAATTTTAAGTTTTAGATAAATGGCGCTGAGAGCATCCTTATCCAGACACTTAACTGATGCTTCAAAGTTTCAGTGTTGATCTAAAGTTTTTAGTCAACTCTCTAACCCTTAATTGGCGACTATTTAGTTTCTGCTTAGTTAGCAGCCACATCCGTTTTCGTCTTCTTCACTCGCTTGTATAGTAGAAAGTGTATCATTAAATTTAGAGTTGAGGTCACGGCACTTTCAACTGATCTATTAAAATGACAAAAAGCGAACCCTCTCACTACAAGGCCCTCTGCCTTCTTACATATCTGACAACACTGTCTATAGTTTTTCGTTTCTCCCTAACAACGTTGAGTAAGCAGAACCAAGCAGTTTGCTGGCAGCACACACGAGAGGTTTCAAATTAGTGTTTACATCTTACTGGTTTGCAAAATATATGAACAATTGTGCGCTTTCAAATAAAGCTTTGAATATGTATTACAGGAGATGTTTGGTCTACAAATGCGTAAATAGTGTCGTAAATTAATTTCTTGAACATGTTTACGAACACGTTTCGCTTTGACGTCGAAAACAATTTCTTAAACCAAATCATCATTTGTAATAATTTTTGTCGGTATTGGACATTGAAAGTTCACAGACATCCTTTTTTTTTAAAGAAAACAACCCCTACAACGTCAAGAACCTTGAAAAATGAAGTTTACAGTCGTTGCGATGTTCATAGCGTTTAATGCGGCGTTAGGCGTCGAGTCGAAGTCCGTTGAGGAGCCCAGCGAAAAACGAACGGGTAACTTTTATATGAGATTCTTAGAGCCGCCGGCCGGCTTATCTAAGCGGACAAAAACTTTCACCTGAACGATAACCTCGCTATGCCGGATTTTCGTAGCTGAGTGCAAATGTCTTTTAGGCTAGAGCTCGAAATGTTCGTCATGGTTTATAATTTTGCATAGTGGAACACATTTTAATTAGGTTTAATTTTCTAAGCAGCGCGTTCATTTAAAACATATTTTCGGAACTTTTCGTTTGGGCTTGGCTTATAATTTGTCTCTGATTAAGAAAAAATGGCTTTAAATGGCTAATATTTGCCAGTCAGCTTGGCTTTGGTGAAGCTCATTTTACTCTGTTCTTCTATCAAGGACACAGCTTTCCCATCAAAAGTGGCGACAATATTGCTCTACGGTCGGCCTTCACTCGTGGCCAGTGGTTGAAGTGCACCAGGGCTTCCTGTGTGTGGACCAACTGCCGAAGCAGTAATATCGCGGATCCCACAGGATCGGCATCTTGTCCTGAGCGAATGATATTTACTATTAAAGCCAAGGACGGAGGTGTTATTAACAGTGGCGATACTGTGTCACTTAGTCCCATAAAGTACGGTCCGGATTTTTTGCTGAGCTGCGACAACTCGACCAGACCCAAGTGCTGCGTGAAACCGTAAGTACATCAGACAATCGCTACGAATTCAGAAATAACTCAATTGAAAATCTTAAAACGATTTTTTTTTACGGTAATGACCATGGCCAAACAAATAAGGCAGCAAAGTTACTGGCGAATATTTTTTACCCCGTATGCTATATTGTTTAAGACTAGTATTTCCAATGTTCCTAAGCACTAGCTTGCTTTAAACCATGGCGCAATGCTCTCTCTCGCTCTGATAGTAATAAAATACTGAAGAATAATTAGAAATATAGATAAAACTGTTTATTTTTTAGTTTAGTTCCGATTCTTTTTATTTTCGTGCCACAAATTGAAAATTCAAGGATGAGTTAATTGTATGTTTGATTCACTTTTGTTTTTAGGACTTCAGACAAGATGAGAGCTCGAGTCGACTCGCTGACCATTTCAAAAGCCTTTTTCCAAATCTATTCCCGTGATGCAGAGGATGGTACTCCGGTGGAAAACCATAATGTTGTACGCTTCAAATACCCATACAGCTCCAACCGGGCCTGGCTGTCATTCCAATCCCCGGACCGTCACTTCTATCCCCTCCCCTGCAGCAGTAATAGTAAAATACCATGCGCAGAGGAAGACAAATTCACTGGTTTCGTGATCTACAAGTTGCGGCGGTGAAGTTCGCTCCAATTCGGACAGACACCTCAATCAAAGATTCAAGCATATAAACTGTAGAAGTAGTTTTTTTTTGTTTGTTTTGTTTGTTTTGTTTTTTTGTTTTTTTTTTTGCACCCTGGTCTAGGCCACTGAAACTAAAAGGCTCGGTTTAGAGAAAATTCACTTTTTGAGGGTTTCTTTTGAATGGCTCTTATTTCAAATTAAAACTGTTGAGGAGTTGAAAAACTGTGTGATATAACCTATGTATGTCCCCTACGCATACATGTGCATCCATACTTGAGCCGTTTTCTTCAATTCCTCCAGAATAGTCCAGATTTTGCCGTTTCTTCAAGTCGACAGAGTTAATGAACTTTCTTATCAAAACAGGGAAGAGATTATAATCATATTCTCTTGAAGGGGTCAAAACAGACGGAAATATTTTGACAAAAGCAACGGACAGGTAGTTGTGAATAAAGAAGCCTGAATATCTCGTAAAGAATATCTTTTAACACTCGAATCAGTTTCATTACATTGTGAAATGTCCCTCCTGAAAAAAGACCTGAAAAAACTGATAGAAGTTTAAATGCGAAAAAGAAAAAAATTGGCATTTCAATTTATTTTAAAATTCTTGGTATAGTTTGAAAGCCAACTCTATAACCTTTAATTTGTTACAGAGGTTTACTCAGGTATATCGCTTGGACGCGAGACACTTCTACCCGACCTTAAGCTCATTTTCGCAGACGATATCGTTGTCTCTGGTTTTTGAAAAATGTTCTGGCTTTGAAACGATTTTTCAACGAGTTCTTCTTCGAGAAACGATCATACATTAGTATGTATTTGTACGACGTAGATCAATACACTTTTTATTTTCGTTGCGCAAATTTTCGCTGTCTGGTGGGCTTATTAGCTGTATTTCCTCTCAGTATACGGCATTTGATCATTTTGGAATGCGAGTATCGTATATTCTCCGAAGGGCGCCACGGCGCTTATTCAATCTTTCGCTTATTTAAAATTTATCATTTTCGTGAAAAAACACAGCGCTAATGGGTTATTTTTCCTTTTCTTTTCTTTGTTCAAAAACTGCAACAAGAGCATATGAAGTCTAACCCGGGGTCTCAGAACGTTGTAACAACTTCGAGATCCAGATTAATCCATTGCTGTTTAAACTGTTCACCTACTTACTTTAAAACTCTTCGATTTAGCCGCAGTCCAGGTACGGCGCTTATTGGAGGGCGGCACTTATACGGCGCTCTTTCGAAAAATTACTGTACGCATCTATTATATTGTAAACGATATGATTACTATTTGGTTGATTGATTCGTTGAATGATTCAATTAATTTCGAATTTCAAAATTTGCACAAGAAACTAGAAATGGTCTCCTATAGGGTTTGTTTGTATTGGAGATAAATCACAGAAGGAACCTGTTTTCTCATATTTGTGCTGTTTGTCTAACTGGGTCTTTTGTTTAAATCACACTTCTATAATGCACATTTGTTTTAATATTTTTCGCAAAACGTAGGAAAATGGTAGAGAAAGAAATCTATCAAAGAGAAAACAGGACACAACGAACGTCCACGATCGGTAAATTCACGCAAAGCTGTAGCAGTGACCACTAGCACCATTGTGATTCTTTTTTTTTTTTTCTTGGCGCGTCCGCGCTAGATGAGTAAAGTGGCTGCTTGAAATTTGCATTGAAGCACTATTGTTTCAAATTTAGGTTTCTATAGATGCTTAGTCTGCAGTCTAAAACCTTTGTAAGTATAAGAATAATCTTTAGAACACCGTAATAAACACGTTATCGGTCTCTTCTAACACGTTTCGCTTCAGGGTGTTAAAAAACACTGATTCTCTAAACCATCATCATCACGGTAGTGAAGTCGGGATTCCAAATTCAACTTTCAGAGACGCCACCGCGAGAAAAGTGCCATTATCAAAAGTCTTTCAAAATGAAGTTTATTATCGTGGCCACTTCCATCACAATCTTCTTGACGGTTAGCGTGCATTCAGCATCCGCCGCGTATAGCATTTCCAACGAAACGCTGACTGTCGATGGCACAGCTGACGTGACCATAGAAGGTGTTAGGGACAGTTTGTCTAAAGGTAAGAAACACTGATGATCTTTTTTGTGGAGAAAGCTCTGATCAGCTAGAGGAATATTCTTTCATAGTCGAGTACAATGTCTCACTCAAAGTTATAAACTTACCCATTGTGGAAGCGGGCTACTGCCGAAGAAATGAAACTAGTAAGAAATCTAGTCCACTCGCAAGTTTATTTTACAATATTCGTTGCATCTTGTCTTCTATTGAAAACTCTGCTCTTGAAATAACTGCACACGATTCTGTTTTTACCTTCGCAGTTCGCCGATATCTCATCATTAACAGTGGAGACACTATCGCTCTGCGGTCAGCCTACACTTCTGGTAGCTACTCCAAGTATTGGTTATACTGTGGTACATCTTTCTGCGCCTGGAGAACTTGCTAAGCACTATCGTCACCTCCTCAGGATGGACCTCCTGCTCAAAGACAATAGTGTTTACTATTACTGCCAAGGGAAAGAGGGATGGAGAGCCAATCAACAGAGGCGATACAGTGTCACTCCGTTCAAACCAATATGGTAGCAGTTACCGACTGTATTGCAGCTCTTCTTACAGCAGCATTTGACGCGCACAATCGTAAGTTCATAACTCACCCGATCACTAGTGGACGCGGCATTAAATTCTTCACCTCTTGGCTCCAATTCTTTATTTTTTGACGTAGTATCTTGTCGAAAAAGACTCAAGCCGGAATTAATCTATTTGTCTGAACCATTTTTTTAACCTTGTCATTTAAGTTCAAGCTTCGAAATATAAATTTTCCTTACTGTGATTGTCATAAAATTGCTTTCATTAGTTTTGGTGCATTCAATTACACAATATATCGACATATCCCAAAGTGGAAGATTTTCTTAATTTCGTGTCCTGATTGCTCTAAGTTATTCTTTTCATAATATTGATTCTGGACTCGTTGTGATTGTAGAGTCACCAGTTTCATGACAGGAGGCGCCTGGCTGACCTATTCGTACGTCACTTTCGAGATCTACTCCGAGAACGCTGATTATGGGACCCTGTGCAATATGGTGACGTGGTGGGCCTCAAATTTCCGTACAGCTCTAACAGCGCCTAGCTGACTTATTACAGCTACAAATTTTACCCCCGTAGCTGCAGCAGCAACAGCAAAACATCATGCGCAAAGGAAAATACCTGGACCGGCTTTAAGATCTTCAAGACGTTTTCATAACTGAAGTTTTTTCCAGAATCCTTAACCAAAGATTCAAGCAGAAACTGTAGAGTTGTAGATTTTTTTTTTGCGTTATCGCTAGGCTAAACTAGCTTAAACTTGAGCATGGGGAAAATTCTTTTCAGTTGTTGCCAAGGGTTTGCTTTGTTTCCAATTAAAGAGTTGAGGAATTGAAACAATTTGTGATGTTTCTTGTGGATTAACTCAACAGAATAAGATCAGTGATCATCAGCTGCACCATGAAAGCATTTCTCGGTGAATGATAGGAACAAATCACGTTCAAAATTGTCCCCGGGACAATTTTAAACGTGATTTGTGAGTGTAATAAAATTCGGGTTGTCTGTTTGCTGAGAGATGTTTATGACAGGGAAATTTGTTAAAGAGTATAAGGTCAATCCTTTCTGCTGAATTTAAGTCTTTCAGTGGCCAGAAAATTGTTTTTGTTTTGGTTTTTGGTTTTTGTTTTTTTAACGCAAATTTCGTTGAGTAAACCTGTAAGTCTCTTGAACTTCCGAGGACATCGAAGTAAGCGAGTGACAGTGGACTTAATTTTTTCCTATATTCTGTTTGCCCTTTCATTTTAGACTCGGCGTATCCATTTACACCATTTTCCTCGAATAATTTCCCATTTTTCGATTCTAAAAAGAGTCGCTTAACTATGTCTGAGAGGGAAAATTTACCTCACTGACCTCAATTTTCCCTCAAATTTTCCCCCCAAATTTTGGCTTATGCGTATGCCCGGAATTGAAATATTGCTCAATTTTGTACCTAATCCTCGAAAAATCTCTCCTTTTAGTAAAAAAAAAAGCTTTCTTAGCAAAACTTAGGCTTATTTAGCGTCATTGCAGCTAAAAAACCTGACTAAACGGTTAAAATCGGTATTTTTTGGCAAAGTTTGTTATTCAAAGGGTTAAAAAACATAGGCACGCAAGACGTGCAGGAGTTATTTTTTTGTAAAGTCTCGGAGATAGGAGCATTCACGGAACTGTTTACAATAAAGATTTGGTTAATTTGACAAGTTTTTTGGTTGCGATGTAC